GACTATTGTGAATATGCACTTAGTTCAGGAGCCTATAGTTTCAGTTAGGGTGATATGGAGGCTAGGATGGTAAAATGATTATGCTAGTGGTAAATAACTTATGCTTATAGAAAGAAATTGTTAAATATACTCAAGTGACAATATACATTTACTATAGAAAATAAATGTTAAAAGTATGTTTTGGCGCTTAATAACTTTACTTCCATATGGATATACATGTTAATTAATAGTAGTAAATTATTCTATTATTGAGAAGTTTATCTCACCCCGCGATTATATTTTACAGCTAAGGGCTCATATAAGGGCAAGGGGAAGGAAAAAGTGACTAAAGAGTGAAAAGCATTATTGTATGGCTTTTCCCTTTCCTCTTTTTAGGTTTGTAAACGAATATGCTATAATATAATGCCAATTTAGGAACGTGACATTGTTTTATTATCACTTGTGTAAGAATATACACACTGTGCATATCTTGGCCCAAGGTTGATATTGTTGTGATTAAATGTCTATGCTTGACCAAGATATAATTATAAGTGATATATTTGAAGTGATTTAGGTGTCAAAATGACCAAATCGATATGTGTGTTAAGTTTTATCCATCCCTTTATGTTATTGTGAATTGGGGGTTTAGTGGTCATTTTGAATATGAATGCTTATTTGTGTGATATGATTGGCTTGTTATGTTGTATGTGATCCATTTAAGGTGGTCAAAGTGATTTCATAGCTACTAGCAGTTGGTAGTGTGTTTTGGACACCTTTAAAAGTGTTTTGAGGTAAAAACAAACTACTTTGGGTTCGAGTGTCTATCTTTTTAATGGATGATTATTTGAGTATGAGATCGATGCTATTAGCTAGAGGGTTCAAAGAGCTTCGTGTAGACACTTGAACTGTTCAAATCAGACATTAGATGGCAAAATGACGCGCTTTGAAAGTTTAGAGTGCTATTATGACAGCAATCATAGGTGCACACCGTGGTGCATGGTAGTTGCGCCATAGTGCATAATGCCTTCCAAGGAACTCATCCCTCTATGCCATCCACTGCGACGGGTGTTGTCTGCATCACAACGGACAAGCTAAATTTTAGAGAATTTCCATTATTATAACTTGCTTTTAAGTACTATTAATTTTTATGCTTCTGTTATCATATTTAATTGATTTTGAATTATATTTTGAGCTCAAACAACATATTTTAAAAGGCTTTCTTGAGATCTCATTATTTTAACTAATTATCTTTTAAACCTATAGATTATGATAACTTTTAGTTGGGATTTTATTTAATCTTGATTATCACAATGGCATATAAGAGTGTTGTCTTGATAATTTCAAGGCAGACATTACATGTTGCATAGTCTATTGTATGCAGTTTAAGTGGTGTCTATGGCTTTTGGCTTGTGATATGTGTTTTGGATACTTTGTTTCGTGAAAAGTCATGCAAAAGTGCAAGTTTAGAAATGAGTATCTAAATTTTGAATGAATATTAATTTAAGTGTGAAGCCCAAAGCTATTAGTTAGAGCTTAGGAAAAGCTTTTTGCAGACACTTAGTTTGCATCGTTTGGATATTAGATGGAGAAATGAGGCATGTTGAAAGTTGTCTCAAAAGCTGTCAATTTGACAACAAAATTTTGCTATCATGAAATTTTGTTGTCATTGTGCAATAAGCCTTGGCACATGGCATAGAGGCTCACAAGCTATGGCGCATGCCTTGAATTTTACAGAACTCTTTTGTTTTCTAATTCTGAAATAAATGCACTAATTCTTTAAATGATCCCCTGCTTCTGTATAATCTTTATACTTTAATTTCTCAATTGTGAGACCTTTTAAGATGGTTAGACTTTGAAAACTTAAGATCCCATCTTTACAACTTACTTGCAAACTTAGTAAATTTGTCTTTACATTAAGTCAATGTCTTAATTAATTGAGATTTGGAGTTAATCAAGCAATATTACACACTGTAAGGGAGGATATTACACACCGTAGCAGATGGCGTAAAGAAGACTTATCACAAGTTCTTGTCCTTGCACTATGGCACATAAATCACATGTTGCGACAGATGGTACAGAAAGGCCACTCTTGAACTTCCTTTTCTCTTCTAGGGTCAGATGACCCAACTCCACTTAAGGCTCGATTCTAAGTCTGTAACCATAAAAAAGTATCACCATTAATCCCATCTAACCATCCTTTAATATAATTTCTCTATTTACATTACTTATTTAACCTTACTTAATAAACTTAATCTTAGAATTAAAATTCAAGATGTTACAATAGACAACTCAAATCTCTTTGAGAAATAAAATTGAAGAACTCTTACCAATGGCATATATATTTGAATGTCTCATATTCAAAAAAAATCTTCTTATGGCTTGACCTTTGAGAAAATTCAAGATTTTATACAATCATGAGCTATAACTTGTCTCACATATTTGTAAATAATAACAAAGAAGAGAGATGAAAAACTAGAAGAGCAACAAGAAGAATAAAGAAAAGGAAGAAGAGAAGAAGTAGGAGCGGTGTCGAAGGAGCTCTTATGCCGTCGTATGGCTCTTTGGGGAGCAGAGTTTTCAAATAAGCTAGGTTTAAGATTTTTTTTAATTTTAAAGGGTATTATAGTATTTTCATAATTTATGTTTAATTGTAAAATAAAATAAAAGTAAGTATTCTTTCAAATGTTACTCTATACTATAACATTCTAAAAATTAACTTCCTAATTAACTAAGCTAATTGAGGGTAATTAAAAATTTAAGTGAAATTAGGTTAGAGAATGGTTAGAGAGGGTTAATGGGCCTTTTGGATTGTGCTTATAACTTTAGAATTAGGTCTAGAGCAAAGTTGGGCCATTTGGGCCTTTAAAGAGGAAGAGAACTTGAAATGCCCTTTGATATACCATTTACTGCATCATATGTTGCATTGGCTAGGGCTAAAGTACTCTTTTACACTTTTACTTACACTATGGCTATTAATATTAGGTTTTTTTTTTACCCTATATTGTATGTGCCGTATGTTGAGAATATATAGATAGAGTTAAAGTACTAGTGCAAGTAAAAAAATTGATTATATGCATGAATGTAGTGACTTTTATGGAGTTTAATGTAAAAATGCCTCCTCCTTCTGTTTTTGAGACTAAAGGCTTGATGGTTAAAATGGGATATGCATGTTATATGAGTGCTATGGTGTATTGTACAAGTTGTTTTAAGTCCATTGTATGTGGTCTATGTGTGAGTTAGGGCTTTTGGGACCTAGTTGGAGTCTTGGACACCCAAAATGTGACTTGAGTGTGAAAATGTGTGAATTTTGCAAATGGATGTCCAATTTTTAATTGAGATATACTTTGAAAATGAGACTAGTGCCAGAGCTAGGGCTTGGAAATAACTTTCTCTAGACAACTATATTACTTCAATCAAATGTTGGATGGAGAATCAAGACATGTTAGAAGTCGACCTCGGATGTTGTCAAATGACAACATTTAATTGTCATGTCTTGTGCAATGCGTCATGGTACATGGTATAAAGAAGGGAAGCCGCGTCACATAGTCCATATGCCACGACACAATCTATTTGTGTTGCTTGTTGTTTTTAACCAAGATTTCAAATTTTTGATCATAAAATGGTATCTCATGCTTTCATGTTTCCACTCTAAATTATACTAGTTTTTAATTGGTTTTACATTATTTTACATATTGAAAAACTTGAGATCCTACTTTTATTACTTATGACTTCAAGGTTTACAAATGAGGTTTGAGTTGAAAAGAATAGTTGGACACTTCGCATTACTCAAGTAGTTCCTTTATCTACTATAGAAAAAATATAATTTTGAGTTCCTACACTTTGCTCCTGTTTTACAATAGGTCCTATATATATTTTTTTGGTGTTTTAGATCCCTTCATGAACAAAGTGTAGGAATCGTGAAGGGACCTATAACACTGAAAAAACAAAAGTATAGGGACTAAAAAAAATTATAGAGATCTATAACAAAACGTGAGCAAAGTGCAAGGACCCAAAGTTATATTTTTCTCTATTATGTATAATTAAGTTATTTTAAACTGTAGTTAAATGGTTTGCAAATGAGATATGGTAATCCGTTTAGATTAGTTTCATGATTACCATGGAGGTTTTGGCCAAGTGTCGGGGTAATAAATGCAATTTTACACATATCAAATATAATTTTAAAACTCCATTCCTACTACTGATACCAATACCAATTTCAATTCTAATCCTTCTAAATTGAGGCTTGTGCATCAAATAATACCAATTTCAATCTTAGAGAGGGGTGTTCACATTTAATACCTGATCATGTTTCAAATATGATTGATTCTAATAGAAAGATATTTATGAGCAATTAAAAAAAACTCATATAGGATCTATTATGGGCCAGACAAATAAACAAAAATGAAAATAAAATAGAGAAAACCAAGGTTCACATTTCTGTTAGGAGATGTGTCCACATTTAGTACTTAACCGTGTTTCAAATAAGATTACTTTTAATAAGAGGATATATCTGAGCAATTTGAAAAAAAATAGAGGAAATTAAAATGCACTAACATGACTTCTCTATTTGATGAGAACAAAACACTAATTGAACATAGGAAGTGACATTCAACTTTGAGATACAAATACATCTAAACAGCTAAACTTTTTTTGGCTTCTTTTTTTTCCGGCGGGGTTTGGTTTAGAAAAACAACCCAACTTTAACGCAATGGAGCAATTGGACATATGGGTTGGATGGAACGAAAGGCTTCTATAACTTGGGTGGTAGGGAACTTCCGCAAATGCTGATATAGCCCAATTATAGAAAGGCTTTTCCAGTTCTGCTAAGCCCATAATTTAAGTGACATAACTTGGCCTAATTGTTAACCTAGTACAACCAATAAACATTTAAAATTTATTTTAATCCTTTGTAAAAGAAATATTTCTTAAATTGTTTATTTTTAAATTAAAATAATCAATAGCCAACATGAGCATCCGCCCAAATAAAAAGGAAAAAGGGCTTGAAAAAAAAAACAAAAGAAAAAAAAAAAAGGCGAATAACTTTCGTTCCTTTTTCGGCCACCACAGGCATATCATGACACCAACGAACGCAGCCATGGCAGCCTCATCCTCTTTCAGCAATTTTCTCTCATTCATTTTGCCCTCAAAACCACCTGCTCCCAAGACCCCTCCTCCTTCCCAATTCAATCCGTCTTCTTCTTCTTCTTCTTCTTCTTCTGCTCTTCGTTTTCCCTCTCTGACTGGCCACAACTCGCCTGACAGTTTCGCTCCTCTTGTTTCTGAAGATGACGGAAAGCACAATTCCTGCCTATCGGCGGAGTTGTCCTCTGTCATATGCCCCTCCCTGGCTTATTCTAACACTCTCTTCTTCAGATCAGCCTACAATGTGCAGGTTATCGTTGCGGAGAACGAGTCCGAGGAGAGGCTCCTCAACAGGTTCCGTAGAGAGGTCATGAGGACCGGTCTCATTCAGGAATGCAAGCGCAGGAGGTTCTTCGAGAGTAAGCAGGACGAGAAGAAGCGCAAGTCCCGCGAGGCTGCCAAGCGCAACCGCAGAAGGTCCCCTTTTTTTGTTTCTGCTTTTAGCGTCCTTAAATTTTTTTTTTTTTTGCTCTTTCTTTTAAATTGGGGATAGAGAATGAGGATAGTAGGTTTCTGACAAAGTACATAGAAAAAAAAGAATATAAAGGAAGTCAAGTTGCTTGGCTGATTACTTGTATTTTGATGGATTGTATGGATAGGCCCTTTATGTGAAATTGTGCGTTTTGTTGAGTGGTTTTACTTTGTGATGGCAATTTAAAACAACTGTGACATACACGATAGAAAAGGGTGTCAATTCTTAAATGGATAATAGATGAGATCATAAGAAGGTGGTGATGGCTGCAATTGACCATAGTTGGCTAATTTAGAATATTGTTAGATGCTGTATTGTGAAATTTTTTTCGGCATATGTGATAGTCTGAACTGTGTTTGGTAGATGCTCTCTTTGAACCTCGACAATAATTATACGTTTTCTCAAAATTAGAGAACTAGAGATAGGCTTGGGTGAAATGTGCAAAGCGGATCTCTTTATCTGGAATTTTCACTGGCTGCCTCGCTAATATAACTTAGACCATCATTGAAAACTTGTGTCTGCCTTACATGGGTTTCAGGCCACGCCAATCAAGATTTTCAACAGAGAGTAAGCCGGAAGTCCCGACGACAACCAAGAAGGAAGAGGATGATGATAACTGGGATATGCCCGAAGAAGACACTCCATACTGACCTCATTATCCCCTATATCTGTAAACACCTTCAAATTTGGTTTTGAGAGCGTTTTCCAGCACGTAAGTTCTATGTAGAAAATTTGCTCCTTGGACTGAGTTAATGGATAATTTGATTTATGTTTTGTCGGATAAAATGCATGTTAATTCTTCCATTTGTGCGTCAATGTCTTCCCCATTCGGTACTCTTGAATTCTGGCATCAACGTGAAATTACTCTATCTTGCATCGTCGAGCAAGTTTGTAAAGTGCTTGTAATTATAAGAAAAGGAGGAAAGATTACAAGTAGGATATACATGGTAAAATTAAAAATATGCTTATCAGAAAAGGGAAAATCACAAATAGGATGTTCGGGAAAAATTAAATATATTCTTATTGAGGTGCAATCTTGGATGTCGTGGAAGTTAGAGATAAGCCAAGTTTATAAAAAACTAAAAAGGATGCATCGTTTGGAGAATATTGTATTTCATACTTGTTACGAGTGGTGGTCTGCAAGTTAAATCATGTCAAGAAAGACTACGAAGGTGCTCTATCTGCGTTTATATCTATGTCGTTGATATTTGTCATTTGGCAATGACTAGATTCTTGGGCTATGTATGCTAACCAGTCGCTGGGAGTGTAATGGAGATTTTGTCTTCAAATTTTTTGGCATTCAGCAGTTTGATCTAACACAACGGATTATAACTATCAATAAAGAAGAGGAGATTTTGCATATAAAATGATAAAATCCTTTGGAACCAGTCCAATTGGTAGTTTTCAGGTGAAATTTTTCAGCAGGGGACATTATTCAAACGAACAAGAAAAAAGGTTACATTCTTCCTTTTGGTTTTCAAACGATATGTTACCACTCGGAATTAATTTCATCAAACAAAGAAAAAGTGTTATTCGACGGTTTCAAGAGCAGGTGTATTCATAAGAGGTTTTGGTAAGGAGAAGAAAATGGACTCTGCATTAATTCTTATGATTTTTTTTTTGGTTGCTGACCTGATATCCAAAGCTTTACCCTGACTAATCCAAATTCGACCCATGTCGTGCACCAGGTTATGGTGGGTGAGTCTTCCAACAAAGGCTTTTTGCATACACAAAGTTCGAACTCAAGACCTTACTTAAACGGAATCGAGTCGCTTACCACTCAGACTAACCCTCATTGGTATTCTTATGAATAGGAAAAGGACTAAAATCAATGGTTCTTTTAGCCCAAATCTTTTCATATATAAGGTTTAAGGTACATTTTTGTCCTTAAAATATTTCTCGAAGAGCACCCAAAACCTTAATATTTTTGTTAAAGTAATTTTCTCCTTAAAATTATTAAAATGAAGCATTTTTGCCCTTTCCATCAAAACTCCTAATGTTGGCCGTTTGAAAATTTGATGGAAAGAGCAAAAATGCTTTGTTTTAATAATTTTAAGGGCAAAATTATTTCAACAAAAACGTTAAGGTATTAAGTACTCCTCGGTAAATACTTTAGTTTCAAAAATGCACATTTACCCTATATATAATAGTCTCATCTGTAGTGTCATATTCTTAAGTTACGCTAACATATAGAAGAATGAAAGATGGACATGGAGGTTTAAATTTCTTTGTTAAATTCAAGGGAAAAAAGACCATCAAGGTGAAATAGGAAAAGATGATGATGGGGAAGATGGGGAAGATTGGGAGATTGAGAACATGAAGCTTGAAAAGTTCACACTTGAATGTTGTTTTGAGTGCAGCTAAGAAAAGGGGGATTTGGAGATGGGGTGTGAGGTTGCTAAACAAGATAGAAGATAAAGCTCTAAAACCTGGAAGCAAGGAGTGGAATGCACTTCTTGTGGCTTGGTTTAAGGCTTCACAAACTACTGCAGTCGTGCAAATATTCAAGGGAATGGCAAAATATGGTGAAAAATCTATTATTATTTCCTATGGGGCATTGCTAAGTACTAGGGAAAAGTAAAGGTGTTAGGAAGTGCCTCGATAATGAATGGAAGTAAATAAGATAAAAAAAATTAAAAATTATAGAAAAGTTAGAGAAAATAATAAAAAATGATGCATGAAATTTAACATAAAAAACCTCCTAATATGAGAGACAAAAAAGCAACAGGTAACAAATAAGGAATTTCACTATAAAAAAATGTGAACCGCAAAAATCGTCTTATCTAAGAAAGATGGACATACGATCGATATATATATATAGTTTCTTATCAACTAAAAATATTGTCTTAGATAATAACAGATATCTCCTAAAATATTAAATAGAGATATGATAGATTTATACCAAGATAATATATAAAAATAATTACAAAGGATTGTAAAGGTTTAAATCATAATCTCAACAAACTTCTTAACTCAAATTCAATAATGTTTGTAATTGTCAAATAGCCCCAAAGGGGCAATCAAGTACTGCAAATACCAACGAAGCTCAAACAATGCTTGAACTTAATATCAGAAAGATGTTTTGTAAGCATGTTTGCTGGATTTTGAATGTATGGATTTTCTTCACAATAATTTCACCACTTGCAACAATATTCCTAATAAAGTGATGTATGATGTCTATATGATTAGTCTTCTAGTGATACCTATCATTCTTAGTGAAGCAAACAACACTTTGATTATCATAGAAAATATCAGTAACTTCTTAGGCGACAATAGGTTCAATAACAAGACCTTACAACCAAATAGCTTCCTTTACACCCTTAATTACTGCTATATACTCTACTTCTATTAAGGACAGTGTAGAAATAGATTGGAAAAATGCTATCTAGCTAATAGAAGAGTCATAAAAGGTGATAATATAAGCAGAAAGAAACTTTTATGTATTAAAATCATAACCATGATTAGAGTCAATAAAACCGATTACATCATTAAATACAATCTTATTTCCTATCTAATACTAAACTAACATCAAAAGTACCATTCAAATAATGGAGGATCAATTTATTAGCATCCCAATGACCCTTTTTATGATGGTGCATGTATCTTTTACCACACTTACTGCATATGTTAGATCAAGTCTAGTACACACCATAGCATACATAAGACTACCAACAACACTTAAATAAAGAACTCTTGACATTTTCTTAATATCCTTTTTAACTTTTGGGCAAAGATCATTAGATAATTGAAAATGAGCAGCCAGAGTAGACACAAGTTCACACTTACTCACATTAAATTGATCAAGTACCCTCAAAATATATTTCTTTTGAGATATACTCAATTTACCAGCTCAATGATTTCTGTAAATTTTCATGCCAAGAATATTTTTTTTCTACACCAAGGTCCTTCATATCAAACTCCTTACTAAGTTGTTGTTTTAATTTGTTAATCAAAGATTTCTCTTTAGAAGCAATAAACATATCATTGACATAAAGCAACATATAGAGAAAGGACTCATGAGAATATTATTTAAATTAAACACAATTATTATATTTGATTTTATTGAAACCTCGCCTAATCATAAAAGCATCAAATCTTTTATACCACTACCTATGAGCTTATTTTAAACCATATAAAGATTTCTTCAAGTGACAAACATAATGTTCCTTTTCAGGAACCACGAATCCCTTGGGTTGCTTTATGTAGATCTCTTCATCAAGTTTTCTATGTAAAAATGTTGTTTTAACATTAAGTTGCTCTAGTCCAAATCAAACATAGTAATAAATTTAAGTAGAACACAAATAGAGGTGTGACGAATAACTAGAGAAAAAATCTCATTACAATCAACACCTTTTTTTTGATGACATCCTCAAACAACTAGTTGTACCTTATACTTTACATCCCTAATATTGTCTTTTTAGCACCTTTATTCTTTCTTGATCATCTTTATTAGCCACATATAAAGAATCCTATAAAATAAGGAAATACTTTCCTAATCATCTATGTTCTCTTATCGGTTGAAATCATCATCACCTAGGTCATATATAAATGGTCAATAAGACACCTGATACTTTTCAGGTGACTAACAGATTCATGGAGCAACTAAAGTCTATAGGTCTATTGGATGGGCAATGCTAAAAAAGAAATGATGGATAAAAGGAAGAAAATTCAAGAATTAATGAAGGAAAGCCAGTCTAGTCAAAGCAAGGCTAAGTCTAGTATGGATAAAAGGAAGGAAATCCAAGAGTTAAATGAAGGAAATCCAATCTAGTTAAAGCCAGGAGTTGAAGATTGCTCCTTCAGAAGGCTTTATATCCACCAAGAACTCAAACCATTTAATGATCCAGGCCAAACTAGGGTACAAGAGATCCATATGCATTATATTACACTAAAGAAACATATGCATGATTATTCAAATAGTCTTAAAAATGCTAGAGCTATAAGTTAAAAAATAAAACAAAGCAATTGATTAAATTTAATTGCAATTACAATATGTGTTTTTTTAATTTATTACCAATTTATTTGAGGATTAATTAAATTTCCTCTTTAACTAATTAATTATTGAAAGATAAAGCCATTCTCACAAGTCACATCACATGCACATACACTCCTTTATTGAATTAATAAAATATAGACTTATGAAATTTTTAGTCTCATTTTTCATAAAATTTAAGTATGAAGTATTATTTATAAATAAGTTTGAAAGTACCTGACATTATCTACTTTCTTTATTTTAAGTGGACGACATCCATAACCATCATGGCCACCCTCCGCCACCAAATCATCTATAGATTGTAGAACCATTTGCTTAACCTTCACTTCCTTAATTCTACTAAGGATGCCTTGTATATGGTTTTTGAAAGACCTAGTGAATCTTGTGACCTAAATCCTTGTATATCATTTCTAATACCACAAGGGTAGGTCTTATGAGCACTACAGACCCAAAGATCTTAATGTCTTTTGTATCTCAAGGTAATATTATTGAATCAAGCTTTCAAGAGAGAAAAGATAATGTATAAGAGAAACATGAGAGAAAGCACATTGATCTTTAATAGATTGATTTTGAAACGAGTTCTATTTTACAACATTGCTAAGGATGCCTTTCATAGATGAAGGGAGGAGAATAAGATAACATACCATTTTCACATGCCTAATTACTTTTTTTAAAAATTAAAGTAGACATGATCAAAAATAAAGATAGACTTGATAAAAGAAAAGCCAACTTGACAAAAACTGGTTTTGTCAAAAAGTAAATGTTACTTTTGACAAATATAAAAGTTACTTTATTAAGGATGACCTTGACA